GTCCATCTTATGTAATGTTCCATGTTTAGTTTGTATTTTATGTTTTATTTTAATGAAGTTTTATATTATATGTGTCAGTTTTTATATGTTATGTATTTCAGATATGTAATTTATATTTGAATTATGTATTAGATTGCTCTTTATATTTCATGGGACTTTACTTTATAATGTCTAGATTTTAATATTATAATTAATAATAATGTCTTTTTAATTTTAGCATTATTTTTATTTTTAAAAAATAATTTATTTTGTCCAAATTATACAATTGGGGTAAAATTATAAAATTTAAATATTATTGGGGTTGTTTTATACATTTAATAAAACAATTAGGGTCAAATTGTAAATACATAAAAGTATGAGATAAAATTAAAAAATTGAAAAATAAAAAAATAAAAATAAACAGTAATGCGGTGATGAACAGTGCGACGCCATATATGGCGTCACGCTGTTCATCATCGCTAAAATGCAGCGAAAAATGGGGTTGCGTTGGAGCTCCTGAGCAGCGGCAAAACGACTTTTTGCGGCAAAATAGGGCTGTGTTGGAGATGGTCTTATGACATGTAGTAATTTGAGAGCCTAGCTGTGAGTATCCAGTTGCATCTTCTTGATCAATGAGATTAATGTTTTCTAAACATCTTGCTCCAAATATTGGCAATTCACATGAACGTATTTTATGTTCTGGTATCTATAATATGGAAATATAGTACAATACTTTAGCACAATAAACTATTGTCTAATGGCATTATGCGATGATTAAGCGCCATGTTAAATCATGGGCAATGATTTGGTACAAAGAGGAGGATTATTTAGGATGTGGTCGTAATTTGACAGCCTTGATTCAGAATCTAGTAGTGTTTGGGTGTGTTAATAGCAATGATTAGAATGAGATCAGGTTTGTGCAAATTGAGATCTTTGGATTAATCAACTCCCTTAAACATGGAGAAGAGACGAAGGAAGATTGCTCTTTCCAGCAGAGACGGCCGCATATTTTTATACTTTAGCCACCTAACGCTTTTGGACTTGATTGACTAATCAAGAAATTGAGGATTGACGAACGAAATTAATAAATTATTTCCTACCAGTTCTTGGATTGGATGGATGTGCTTATAGTTGTAGGCTGCAGTTTCTCTTTTGTTTAATGCATGTTTAGCGTTAAGTTAAAACTAATTCCAAATGAGTTTACTGTGTATAGACCCCCTGGACTTGCTACCTCCCTAGTTATAGGCTGCAGTTGAAATTCCTTTTTCCTCCTTAAGCGTTGGAGAAGTTTTCTTTGTAAAAATTAGTTCAGCAGTGACCTCAGTTGTCATTTGGCCAAAAAATAATCCTTAAACTGGCTCTTTGATGACCACTGTGCTTTTTTTTTAGTTGTAGCCTGGTTAAGATAAAGTGAGATAAGAGGATTCTTAACTTTGACACAATTTTTTGAGTAGTTGTAAAAACACATTCTAAGTTTTTTCTTTTCCTAACCTTAAAAGGTTTGGAGATTTAGGGGGGTGTTTGGTTACATTTCTATAAATTATAGGAAATGTTTTCCATCCCAAATTTGATTTCCTTGTATTTCTTAAAAAAATTATAGGAAAAGTTTTGAGAAGTTAAAAAGTACAAATTTTCTTATTTTTTGTATTGTGCTTGTTTGGTTCAAAACAAGATAATAAGAAATAACTTTTGGGAAAATAGCAACATTTCCTATAATTTATAGAAATGTAACCAAACACCACCAACTTTATAGAAAAGTGAGAACTTTGTAGAAAAGAGTTAATGAGTTTTATTATTTAAATAATGAATGCGTTAGATTTCCAAGAGATTTCCTCCCATTTTAGAAGGAAATCAATTTCCATAAAATTTGGTACTTTTGGGCACTTTACAGAAAACATTTCTGTAAATTTTTTTGGAGCCAAACACAGTTTATAGAAATGTATAGAAAACTCTTAATTACATAAATGCCATGCGTCAGTACTTTTGAGAAAGCATTTCTCAAAAACAATGCAACCAAACACCCCCTTAGAGAGAATAGTAAAATAAACATTCAATTAACGGATATGTAAAAGAATCCTAAAATAGAATGCTTTATAATGAATGTTGTAATTTTTATTACTAGCTTACTCTTCTTTTTTATCTCGTCTGTGGTGCACATAGGAATCGAATCCGTGCCCCCTACGAGTAAAGGATACGCTGAATCGAACCTATGCCCCCCACGAGGGAACGATATGACTTTGTCATGTGACCTACTGGACCGTCCCTTTCTTAGTGGCTTACTTGTATTCCGAGAGAGAGCATAGCCATAAAGTAAGCGTTTCACATGGCTAGGGCCCAAAGCGACCTCATGGTTGTTTGCAAGCCATTGAAATTATTTAACCCATCTTAGAATTTAGAACAAGAAAAAACCCCTTAATATCTCATTATCCAATAATTTCACTATAACCCTTTATTTCATCTCCAATAACCTGTAGTCTCCCCCATCCAACTGGATTGTCAAGAGAGAATGCAGAAGAGCTGTACACTGACGGAAAGAAAATGCGCAGTAAAGGTGCTCGATGAAATGCCTTCCCGAAGGTTGAGATACCTAAAGAGAATAGGTTAAGTTAATGAGATCGCCCCCTTCTTTATTTAGCATTAGCTTATTATCTTGCTGAATTTGGTTAATTTTTTAAACTATTTATAGTAAAATGGAAGTCTATTTTTTTTTCTAACAATTCTAGAGATCCATATTTTCTCTACCACCCTGGCCTCACAATCACATCCCCTACACAATACGAACAAATCTAATTACAATTTTGTTAGACCAAAAGATTAAATATAACCATCTTTGTTAGAATCATTGATTGTTTTTTATTTGGTTTAGATTCTAATTCCAGTAGGAATCAAGAAGCAAAGATTGGTGGCAACCTTGCCTCCAATCTTTGTTTGATCGATCACAGTATCTTCATCTCCCCCAAATCATGCATGGAACATTGGTGATTATTTGAAGAACAAGAATTTGGCTGCCATCCATGGGCTGCTGCTTCTTTTTCCCTTCCCATGCATTGCACGGTGAAGCTTCGCGTGACAGGTATTGTGATATGAACAAGAAGAAGAAGAAGAAGAAGAAGAAGAAGTGCCTAGCATCATGTTGCTGCTGCTTTTCTCGTTCTTCTCATCGCACTTGCCCTCCTCTGCCCACAAATGACCAAGATGAAGTTGCAAAGGCCATCATATCAACTAAGTCACCGGATTTTAAGCAGGTTGAATCCGATGAGGCCAAATTGCTCATACCCGTTATCCCCAAACCTCCATCTTATCCCCCCTTGAGTTATAACAAGGTGCAGGGTAAAGATGGAACATCAAAAAAACCTGGTGGCATGATTCGGGAGGGTAGACGATCCAAGAAACGTAATAACTTGATCAGAGCCTCCTCGAGCAATATAATGCTTTTTGGTAATTTAGGAAATGTAAAGGGACATAGGACTGCTTCCATTGGTAGAGATTTGCTTGATTACCTGCCCAAGACTGCAATGGAACTGAGTGCAGAAGCTGATGCTAAGAAAAAGGTGGCTGCTAAAGAGAATGAAGGGGTGTCTCAGAAAGAGCCGGAGGAGTTGGATGCTGAGGGCTTGAAGGAGAAGGGCAATGAGGAGTACAAAAATGGCAGATTTACTGAAGCAGTGGCTTTCTATGAAAGAGCGATTACGAAAGATCCGAGTAAGGCATCATATTGGAGCAACAAAGCTGCGGCTTTCCTAGGTCTAGGCCAGCTTCTTGAAGCAGTTACAGATTGCAAAGAAGCTGTTAGAATTGATCCTGCTTATGGTAGAGCACATTATAGGCTGGCAACCCTCTATATCAGGTAACTGCAAGAAGAGAGATCATCTATGTAGCCTGGTATATTTTGAGCTTCATCTACTAGGGTTGCTTTCTTTGCTTTGAATTCATGCCTTCATCATTCTAGCAACCGATAGCACTTAAGCAGTAATAGTCTCATATGAGTCATGTTTGCATGATTGCAGGTTGGGAAATGCTGAGAAAGCAATCGATCACTATAAGCTATCACAAAATGAAACCAGTGCAGATGACATGTCAAAAGCGCAGGCTTTACAAAGCCATCTTTCCATGTCTGAGGACGCTCGAAGACTAAAGGACTGGTCTTCTTTGTTGAAATTAGCCCAGGATGCCATTTCTGCCGGTGCTGATTCATCTCCCCAGGTATCAGTTGATTCTATCCTAGTTGTTAACAATCATCAGCTTCATAGATTCAGGTCTATCGTTGTTGTATTTTATGATCAATCTTGAAAATAACTATTGTGCATGACATGGAATCGGTTTGTTGATAGCTTAAAGCTCATATACCATAACACAGTGTGTAGGTACCATGTTTCTTTTTTCTTTCCTGTTTAAGACAGTGTAAAAATTTCCATAATATTCTTAATAAGTAGGAATATTTTCAAAGTATTAAAACATTTTTTAAGAAAAATTTTAAATCAATACAAAACAAACTAATTTACTAACAAGTGCCAGAGTAAAATGTTCAAATTATCAATTTTTTTTTACATATCTCATTCATAATTTCACAATCACCAGCATAATGATGCCATCAAATATGAATCACACCAACAAAAGAAGCCATCAAAAGTTAGGAAATATTCCAAATGAAAATAATTAACACTTCCAAGTTTTAAAAAAATCAAATGAAATATACCCTCAGTCTCAAATATAAGTTATATTGAAAATGACGTATATTATACTGAAATACAGCAGGTTACACTGAAATAATGCACATCTATTGAAATATCATAGCGTTCACTGTATCAAAAAATTCTATATATATTGCATTTAAGTTTTGGTATGTTATGTAATGCAGCATAAGGCACCACATAGCTCATTTTCTTCAGAACTGTTCATGGTCTACACACACACACACATACAAAAAAGGGCATTACACAGAAAAACTTTCATGAATTCATGGAGTATTTTTTTTCATTTTTTTATAGCAATACAGACTTGAAATTCATTTGAGATGAGCTTAGTTATACAGAACTTCATTTGAACTTCATGATGTGCGATAAGCCTATTTGTACTTCCGACTGAAAATATATACTTATATTATCTAAATCCAGAATGTCTTTAGGAATCCTATTATTGATACACTGGTTTGATGAGTGGTTATTTATTTTGACCAGATTTAATGAAATCAAAACGACCATTCTTGTTGCCATTATTTATAGTTGAGTAACGTCCTATTTATGCTTTTCTCTTGAACTGAAAGGTCTTTGCCTCACAAGCTGAGGCCCTCTTGAATCTACACAGACATGAAGAAGCAGATGCAGTATTGGCCAGCTTGCCTAAGTTCAACATAGATGCATCTACAAAGTTTTTTGGTGCTGCTAGCAATGCATATTTCTTTGGAGTCCGAGCACAGGTCCATATGGAAGCAGGAAGGTCAGTACCCAATCTCATGGTTGACGTACTCTCAAAAGTTCGTATTGTAATAACACAATATAGACATCAGTAGACAAATAAAAGATATCTCGACTATTAACATGCGTTACATTGATTCGGTTAAAGGTTTGAGGATGCAGTTATTGCCGCTGAAAAGGCTGCTCAACTCGACCCTGACAATAAGGTCCTAGGTTCTTTAGCACAGAAGGCTCTTACTGTAATGTCTGCTCAAGTGAAAGGTAATGATCTCTTCAAAGCATCCAAATTTAGTGAGGCCTGCGTAGCCTATGGGGAAGGACTTGATGAGGAACCCTATAATCCCATTCTACTTTTCAATCGAGCTGCCTGTCGAGCAAAACTTGGTCAGTGGGAGAAAGTGATTGAAGACTGTGATAATGTTCTTAAGTTCCACCCTGCACAAATTAAAGCTCGTCTTAGAAGAGCCGACTGCAATGCCAAGGTTAGCTGTTTCACTTTTGGTTAATTGCGGATAGACCCTCTGTACTATCATAAGATTGAACTTACTACCCCTGAAGTTCTAGTGTTTGCAGATAGACCTCGTTGAAATAGTTTTAGTATTAGAGAGAGACCTTCTTAGTGAAAACCACTGCAGACAGCCCCCATGTAAAAAGCCACAAAAAAAAAAAAATTACGCCGTCTATCTGCAACAGTAGAACTATAAGTAGTAGTAAGTTCAATTTGACTATAGTACAAGGGGTCAATCTGCAATTAACCCTTTTTCCCGAGGAATTCCGGAGATTTATGAGCTGAATTTTTTGAATTTTGTAATGCTAGTTGGAAAGATGGGGAGCATCAGTAGAGGATTATGAGATATTACTTCGGCAAATGCCAGGGGATGATGAGGTGGTCAAGGCTCTGTTTGAGGCTCATTTACACCTAACGAAGCAGCCAGGGGAAAAAGTGAAGGACTCAGAAAATGATGCTGGTTTGATGACTATCACATCAGAGAACCAATTAATGAACATCATCATGTTACCTGGTAAATATTTCGAACCCAAATAACACTGCTTCTAGTGAGAGATTAATGCACTTCATTGCTCATGAAACGCAATTTCAGTTCATAAACCAGTAGTACCAGTAACCGCATTCAAAAGTTAAAGATCTCAAGGCGAAAAGCTTACTCTTCTAACTTATTTGCATATAATCAGTTGGTCATATAGCTTTGGCTTCATTTCCATTTACTATTATATTACCTAACACATGAGCAAATCCAGTTTGCGGTTTGGTTATTGTGAAGGCACAATCTGTAACTACATAAACCACTTATAGCTAGTTCAAGATCACTGCCACATTCAGAGAGACTTCATGATTAACTAGACATAGCTTTTATTTTTTTCTTAAGGGTGGGTAGGGGATTTTATTTTATTTTTTATTTTATTTTATTTTATTATTTTTTTTTTGTGGGGGGGGGGGGGGGGGGG